ACTCATGATATCTTAATACTGTACTTAATTAATTTTCAATATAAGAATCGATTGTTTTAACTGCAATCGTAAATAAGGAATGAACAAAAGCCTCTCCTGTTAACTCTTTGATAATCTTTATTTGTTTATATTTCAAGAGATACGTAAAATGTGTAAACACAAAAAATCTTAATTTGAGAGATCAATTTCAAGTATAATAAGAGTCAAGTATAATAAAGTTATATTAAAAATAAATTACATTTAAAATGGATTATATTTATCATATGTATAATTTTTATTGTATTTACTGATTCTTATTCAGTACTACTTATACGCAAAATATTTATTAAATTATAGTGTTATAAAAATGCAAACTAATTTTCCATTAATAACAATATTTTATAAAAATAACATGTGATAGTAATGTAATACGTACAAAAATATGTTAATTGAAAAAAAACCTTTGAAAACATCTTAGGTAGATTATTCAAATTGTATATGTACCTTTACTTTTTATTAATGACTTTGTATCCTTCCTTTATTTATCTTAAATTTGTTCATTTTTCTAATTTTTCAGACTTTTGAAGTGACCTTAGACACGTTATTGTTAGATTTTTAATTGTTTTCAATACTTGAAAAGTTTAAAAACAGAAGAACGCATAAATCATTTTCCATTTACCTTCCTGACCGCCTACCAACAATTGATTATTCGAGATATGCTTATTCCTGCGAAAACTCTTTCTAGTTGCTTTCTTATATGCTGTTTCGATCGACACGCCCTCATACTTCAAAGATCGATTTTATTTCTTGACTCTCTCTTTGTTGCTTGATGAAGATGGATTTCCTCGGTGTATATATAACGGTAGGTATAAAAGTACACCCCAAAAAGGGATGTACTTGAATTATGTTGTAATTCAAGATATATTAGCAAATATTAAGACGGATACTTACTAAGAGACCTGTCTTGAATTTTAAAAACAAAAATTATTATAGAATAAAGCAAATTGATTTAACACAATTAATAATTGATTTTATAAACACTTTTCATACCTTTATATTCACAAGCGTACCCACAGAATTAACTTGCCAATATATTGGCAGAAATATTAAAAATATTTATAAATAAAATAATTTTATTAAAAATTACATGTGCATAAAATAACAGGACAGCTGAACATATGTGGCATAAAAAGAATGCTTATGATGATAGAAGGAAAATATTATAGTAGTCGGGCAAACTGCGACTGCAGAATTTTTAGAAAGAGAGATTGTCTGGTGTCCGGTTACTAAGCCGAAGAGTAAAGAGTTCGGACACAACCATGCGACAGCACCGAAAATGTTTACACGCCATTTATTTGAGAGGCTTTTGGCAGTACTGTTAGTCATTTGAAGACTTGTGCATTATAAACTTTCTTTCAATTTTGTTACCGTTGTTGAATCAGTTCACCAGGGTGATTCTGCTCGGAGATTGTTTGTAAACCCTTGTTTGAAACGTTTTCGTGTTTTAAGCAAACTTTTGTCTCAAATATTCTCGTATGTATTTATTATAATAGTTTAGTTATGCAAAATTTCGATTCTGACATCTAATTTCTAAATCGGGGCATTTTGTACTTCGTTTTCATCAAAAGCCATTAAAAATGTATATATTTTTCTATATTACGATTTTCTTACTTTAAAATCATTATCTGCTGTAGAAATTCAAAATATTTTTTACATGTTTCACAAAGTAATTAATGATTTATTTTTTATTTACTTAATTAATTGATTTTAGTTATTTATTGTTCACTATTAATTGTTCACTTTAAAAAATATGTAAACAATTATTTTCAATAGTTTTGACAGTAAAAAAATATTAATAGGAGATAGAATTACATATCTTCCAACACCAAGTTAACGTTGGATGAATTTCTAATTGGTTTACGTCTAATCCTCAATTCTATATATATTTTTTATTTAACAATAAAATTTACAAACAAATTTTTAGCACACCCATGGGTCACTTTTATCCCTCATTATATTTGAAATAATCTTACAAGACATAGAATCATTAGCTATTGGAAAACTTCATATACAACTACTGTTTTTTATTTTCATTGTGTTATTAATGATATTCTATTAACAGCCCGATCCGAATAATATACATATATGTTGAATATATTTTAAACACTTTTAATTCATTACACAACAGATTACAATTCATTATAAAAATTGATGAATCTACGGAAAATTGATTATTTCGATACTATTATTCTTGTTGACAGATAATCATTTTTAATACCTTTCATAAACTGACGTTTTCTCAGGTAGATTTCTGAATTTTTTCACTTCACTCTTACCAAAACCATTATGCCATAAAAAAAGATGTTATTATGGGAGTAATGGATAGAATTATCTTGTGTTGTCTTTTATCCTCGTTTTCAACAGGAAACGAGAATAAGACTAACCTTATTGACACGATTCACATTTTTTTAAACAATCCTTTCATAAAAGACATAAAAGACTCAACTATTATTTCCACATTAACAGTTTTGGCATTAAACCCCTAGCTAACAAAAAGAAGAATGATAAAAATATATGTTTTACTGTACCTTATGTCAGATCTATTTCTGAAAGTTTCATACCCCTATTGTTCGTAAATTAAATTATAAATTAGCTTACACGATTCCTAACTCGTTATAAACTTATATAAAAAGAGGCAAAGACCATTTTGTTTTATCACACCAAGTAGTTTATAAAATACAATACGAAGATTGTGAGGCTAGCTACGTTGACCAAACAAAGAGAAAGTAGATTACAAGAGCATATAAATAAAAAAACAAGCTCTCCCTCTGTTATCATTGACCACCGAATCAATCATAATTATAATTTTGATTGGAATAATTAAGAATTTTAAATAGTGAACGTTCTTACAACAAGCTTTTGATATCTGAAATGGTTCATATTAAAAAACAGAAGTGTAGTTTAAACAGACAAAATGATACAAAGGCTTTCCATGATTCGTATAGGATTCCTATTTTACAATCCGTTTTCCCTTCCCATTTATCCCCTCCTCGTTCCCCTTCTTGGTTCTTTCCCCTTCGTTATCCTTCGTATATACTTTCCATTTCCTTATACGATTTTCCAACTTCTCTCTACATAGTAATGTCGAGATATAATACACTCAGCACATTCGCAATCTACTTACTTGGCTATACTTGTTTAAATCATATTCCACATTTGTAATGTTTAATAACAAGACATTCTTCCTATTATTAATTTAATTTATCAACTTACTATTATTTTCTTTTCTTACATCATAATTGACGACAATATTGACCAATTTTAATTTTGTACATCCGTGTTACTGTGGAGTGCATATCTGTTATTCAATATGTGAAATACATCGAGTTATCAATTTATAATCGCTTTTATTTGAAATATAAATCGTTAATCTTATTGTTTATATTCTTGAAAATGATTCGATTAAAGTCGCAAAACGTCTAACCGGTTTATTTTAATTGTATTTATTTTAAATGTATTTCTTGACACATTAATGTTATTTTCTATTTGTTTATATATGGCTCGTAGCCCTGTTTTGAAATATATCGTTTTACTTTAATTTTTTGAGCCACTCATATTGATTTTAAAAAAAATTTTAATTATAAAATGCCAAAAATAATTTTTTAATAACAATACAAAACAACTAAAACATCTTGATATAATCGAGAATAAAAAAATTGCGTTTCAATATAAATTGAAATAAAAATATAAAAAGCTTCTATAAAAATAATTTTCATAATTCTATAATTTTTAAGTATAAATTCTGCTCCTGATTCAATGAATTTCTAAATAAGTATCCATAATTAATACGTATAATTAACATCATGACGTCAGCTATACTTTCCACAAAATAGAAAAGACATATATTGCGGAAATTTAATGAAACATTCTAGCATACACACGCCTCGTGGCGCTATTATCCCTTGAGATAGCCACCTCCCTTGGGATAAGCCTATTCTATAATAGGTTCTCAATTCAAACATGTATATATATATATATATATAATATTGAAAATTATCTAAATTTATAAAAAACGAATAATAAAAAACCCTTATCAAAATTTGTTTTCTTTCCATCGAATTTGAATCATTTTAATATTTAATATTAAAAACCCCTATTTGCAACATAAGAATCATTTTATTCTTAAATGGAACGAAAATTCGATTAAACGATCCAAATTCAACTTTTGCATACATACTTATCCAAAAAGATTTATATAAGAATCTTCCTTCGCCTTTGAAAATTTCAGGTTGAGAGCCGATCTTCTCCAAATATCGGGATATTGGTCAGCATGTCATATGGTCCCTGGTTGTTGGTCGATGGCCGCGTGGGCGAATTAAGGTTGTGCAGATGCACGACGACCAACCCCTCCGTAATAATGTGGAAAAAGCGGATGCTGTGTGACAACTCTTTTCCCCTTATGCTGCGATAGCAGAGTTCCATTGTCCATCCACCGTTACAATAACGAACCCGCGAGCCAGGTAACGGTAAATGTGTGGTGGAGCTGAGCATCCCAAAAGTGTGTCAAAGGGCCGCAATTTTCACGGCTAATCTCTAAACCGTGACGTCCCGAAAATTGCTTTCTACCGCAATTGCGAGGGTGAGCTATGTTGATCGATTGTGCGAAATCGAAATATCTTGATCATCACATTTCCAATAATATCTCTAACGTATATTAAAAAATCATATATAGAATTCAGAAAATTCTTATGATATTATGTTCCTTGATCGCGACATCAACATTCCTATAATGTCACAATTTTATTGTTATAAATGCAAAATTTTCTTAACCTTAATTCGAAAATGTAAAATTCCCAGAAAGTAGATTTATAGATAATACTATATCTTTATATACATTATATCTTACCAGAAATACATGCCATCATTTTTTTTGTGCTGCTCAATAATCCCACAATGATGCATTTTCAAAATTAAAAATGCGGTTTTTAGGAACTATTATTATTTTTTATTAATATCGTCGATTTTACATTAACAAAAGTATAGATAATAATGCTATAGCTGATGTGTCCTTTTTTTTTTACATAAATTACATTAATTTTGTCACACATAGTACGATGACAATTAACAGTTATAAATTAATTGCGCTTCTGTACATGTGGTAAATCGTACTTTCCACGTACGCATTTTATCTTAACTCCAGGTGTATCTCGCAATCGTCCATTCCTGCACAGTACTATATTATGCTCCTGTAGATTATGACCGACTCCTGAAATAATTTAATTCGTTTAAATTTTTTAATGCGAAATATATAACGCCCCAAATTTCCTGGCGCGACAATGACTCGAATGCAGTATTGCTGCAAGTCAGAATTCGAGATCTTACCAGGTACATATGCCGTCATTTCTTTGCCGTTCGACAATCTCACAATGACGCATTTTCGATTCGCAGAATTAGGTTTTTTTGGTTTTCTGATAACAGTTTTTAAAATTACGCCTTTCATAAATGGTGCACCATCAAAAGGATTCTTCGAAGGTTTGTGCTTTTTATATGATCTGCCTCTCCTATGCATTTGCCATAAGGTGCTCCCAAATCTGATCTGTCCCAATCCTGAATCGGTATATAAATAATCATGCAATCGTTTCCCACAATGAAGTAGAAAATAATTCAGCAAAAAAAAAATTATCAATCTTATTATGACAATCGAAAAGTATCTCTAAGCAATTGTCTATGGGCTATTCCACGTGAAGAGGATCAATCATCTCTCAGAAATTTTTTTAATTTGGCACATAAATAATGCTCTTAGGAGATAAAATTTTGTGCCAAAGGATTTTTTTAATTGCAAAATTGATCGAGATATAAATAATTAAAAATTAAACTACTTTATATTCTGCAAAGATTCATATCTCTGTTACTAATAATGCTAGCTGACTTCATTTTTTCAATTCACGTTAAAAATTTTCCAGACTTTTTGACTCTTTTCTCAAATGTTAAAAAATTTGTTAAAAAGTTTATTGTTAAATAAACAATGGAAAAAGAAATCTTTTCGGAATATTAATATTTTCCTGTAAATTAGAACATTTTTAGCGTGAATTTAAAAAAAAGACGAAGTCAGCTAGCATTATTAGTAACAGAGATATGAATCTTTGCAGAATAAAGTAGTTTAATTTTTAATTATTTATATCTCGATCAATTTTGCAATAAAAAAATACATTGGCACAAAATTTTATCTCAGAACACTATGTGCAAAATTTAAAAAATTTCTGAGAGGTGATTGATTCGCTTCACGCGGAATAGCTCCTATGCATTCTTATCTTTAAATATGTTTAATTGTCTGAATTTATTTATCATCTCGTGTACGTTTCAACAAATTTTCATAATTTTACAAAAAAGTTATCAAGAAATAAAACCAAGAAATGAAAAGAATTGCGAAATATGTAAACTTTTTCCCAAAGCCATTATAAAAGGGATTACGAAAGAATGACAGAATTAGAAGATGAATGGGCTACGAAAATGTTTTGTCACTATGTAAACACAACATGAAAATTTACAAAGCTTCCTAGAAAAATAAGATAAATGATGTAGCAATCCTTACATCAAAGAAATTTTTTTTTAAACCATATCGGAATTTTAATGTTGATTCTTTTGTGTCCTTTTATTTGTACGTTTTATACACTGAAAAAAATATTTTTCCTCGATGCGTTCGCGCCGAGTACAGATTCTGATTGGCTACACGGAGAAAATTTTATATTAAGTTTTAATACAATTTTAAATTACATTTTACTATATCTTATTATATTTTCGGGTGGGCTCTCACAACAATATACCGACATAACTTTTACTATGGTAATACTAATTTTATCACATAAATAAAGTAACTTTTATTAAATCCAGTGCTTATAAGCCATGGAAAGAGTTAATTTTTACTACGGTACGCAAACAATATTTGCTAGGTTATTTATATATTCTTTATCTTTACAATACTAACTTTTATTCAACAAGGTGTGATTTTGTATAAAATGTTTATTATGAAAAAAGTGTAAAAATTACTTTATATTATTGTTATTAAAAAAATGGTTATAGTATTTAAACTTATAATTACACGATGGTCTCTATCATGCAGCTTCTACCACATTATAGTAATTATGAATATAAAATTTTCTCCGTGTACAATAATCATTCAATAAATGTAAAATCACAGAATAAACGTCAAATTTTACTTTTTTTGTAATTTCGTATCTGAATAATTTTTTAAAATGCTAATAAAAATAAAACTAACGTGTCTCTCACAAAATGCAAGTCATTAAACAATTTAAAAAATACTGTTGTATCAAATGAGATAACGAATTCATTCACGTTTCATAATTATTCAGTATACAAATTTAATCTTCACGATCAAAAAATCATAAAAAAGGACATCATACTTACTAAAATAATTTTATATAGAATATATTGGATGTTAATAAATTAATTTGGAATTTTTACTTTTCTAGTACGTATATATTCTTGTAACAAAATATGTTGTAAAAAATAATGTCTTCTTTGGTTACAAAATATTCACATTTGATTCAAGAGATTACCTAAAACGAGTATCCTATGACAGTACATTTGGTAAAAAGGATGCTCGTTATGGAGTGATCAGTTTTCCAGAATGAAAACTGTCGGAGGTGACATTGACAATTTTAGAGTTGCCTGCCAGAGCCGTGACATTCTACGATCATCAAGGTTTACCAAAAGAAAGCTATTGTTGATCATATCGAGAGTTGGTTGACCACCGTCCGTCAATACGACAGATGTCCAGCGGCATAGCGACTAATCCATCCTAACTCCTCCTCCTTACTATGCCAGACGCTATTATGAACGAAAGGCAAACCCTTTTCTTACCGATGAATACGTAAGATTACATTGCGAAAATTTTCGACGTCGGTGTTACGCTTTGTTGCATCGTTACAACGTCGCAAATCCTCTTTCTTTCTTTCCCTATTTCCTTCATTCCTTCGAGAATCTTTTTTGCTATGATTGCCATCTTACAATTGAAAGAAATGCGAGTTTCAGGATTCTTCTAACCTGTCAAAAATTACATCATAATAATTAGGACTAATAAGTTAATGTTAAATTAATATTATATCAAATTTATTTGAATTGCTAAGATGTGAGTGTAAAATAGCGGTTACATTCATTCACAAGATATCTAAAAACAATTAGATTTCGCTCGTTTTTTGTAATGCAGTATAGAGTATAGAGAAAAACGGTCTAAATCGAGCAGTAATAAGATTTTTTTAATTAATAGATTTCTAGTTTACAATAATACTAAGAAACATAAAATAAAAATATAAAATACATAAAAGTATACAAATAATTGAACGTCTCGGAACTCACAGGTCCTTCAGCGATTCATTTCGATGTCAATGAGATAAACGTATAATCTGCAAACAAATTATTATACCAGCACAGTACCACACAATGTCGCTTTTTCTTTATACTATCTAAAAACATTTACTTGTAGTGTCTTTCAGTTTTTGAACATGGCCGGAGACACTACCGCGTCTCCTGATGAAGTCGAAATAAGCGATAAATGATTGGATTTTTCATTAAAAATTAGTTTATTTTACATTTGTTTGTAAAAATATTTTTTTGTTTATTCATTTGCAATTACTTTTTTGTGAAAGTAATATATGGCATAAAATTTAACATAATCGTAGAATGTCATGGCTCTCTAAAATTATCAATATCATCTCGGACAGCTTTCATTTACGAAAATTGTTTACTTTATAACGAGCATCCTTTCTTACTAAAATATTGTACATACAAAAAATTCAATAGCTCGGATAGAAAATCGAAACAAAAGATGGAAATATTATAAATGTAGATATTTATATTATAGAAACTAAGCATAAACAAGAAAGTTCTGTCCAGAACCATCAAATTAACGAAACGCAAGATTTCTAATTCTGATAAGGCATCGTTTGCGAATGCTGTCACGAATGCTGTCATGAATGGATCACAGTCCCACCCTTTGTAGGGTTGCGAGAAAAGCGGAAAGAGGGAAACACATGGATAATGCTTGATCCCGTAGCAACAACTGGTCAACCACAAATGGACACGTCACACCCCTCAATTCCCAGCGATTTTCGCTAGTGGTCACAAGGGCTCCGTCTTTACGCAGCGCGAGCCCTTTCTTACGAAGTGGACGAATAGATCCCTTTGGTATTTGGAGATCTCTGTCCGTGGGGATCAAAGAGGTGAAGGCTGCACGTATTTTCGCGGCAGAAGAATGCCGGTCGCGATGGGAAATCTAACCGACTTCCTACGAGATTCGACCACTTCTTTAGCAGAATCCGGATCCAAGCAGAAAATCGCGAAGATATGTATCTATAGACGATTATAGATGGTTCGGAGAGGACCAATCTAGTCACGCTTAAAGGAAATGTGATACTTCTAACGTTTCACACAATTTCACATAAATAAGTCATCAAACTACTAATCTACATTCATCTTGATTTTTTATTTTCAAATATTCCTCAAACGTTAGAATATCCTCAAATATTCTTCGTACGAAGAAATTTGAGTGCGTTTAATCACGTTATGTTAAATATTTATAATATTATATACATACAATTAATAATCATCAACAATCTTCAAAAATTTATAATTGATGTCTTGTAATGATTACAATAATTTTTAATAATTAAGTGTAGTAAATAAAATAGTAATATAATAGTAATATAAACTATATATAAACTATAACAGTAAAATAAAATTTAATTTTGTATTTAAAAAAGTATTATTTAGAAACGTTTAAAATAATATTTCGTTCAGAAATAAAGCCCATAAAACAAGTTGTTTGAAATTTAGAAAGAGATAGTTTTTCTTGATTTTTCTTTCAATTACTCAATCTTAAAATTACGATTCTTATTTCTGTCGATATTAGTTTGCAATAATAAGTGATAATAAATCAACTGTTGTAATAAAAATATGATTATCTATTTTATATTGAAAGTGTTAGGTTGATGCAAAAATCGGTAAAAAAAAAAATATATATATATATAATGTTTTTACTACTTCAAACTTTGGAGCTTTATTCTACAATAAAGATATGTTCAATTGTGTTCATATTGTATCATTTTCAAGCGCAGATTCTACTCTATTAACTGTGCTAGTAATTTTGTTTTCATTGTTAACTTTATGATTATTTAAATTTTAAACGCCGTCAATGTAACAACATAACTAATACGAATATGTGAAGCCTATAACAGTCTAGCTGAATCTTAATTGCTTATATGTAATTTCGCGTGAATTTATATACTGATACCTATATGTAGTCTTTTTAAACTGCGCGCCGAACAATTGTCGGTTTTGAAATGCAATTTTAATAAACTAGCGCAGTACTATCATGAATTAAATTGATTAACAATTTAATAATTGATTAAATTAAATTGATTAACAATTTAATAATATTTGATGCTCTTTTGGCATCTTATTAGTATTAATATTTAACGACGTTAAAATCTGAAAATAACAATTCTTATTAGAAAAAATATTACTTCGGCTGGAGTCAAACCCGGATCACTCACTTTACACGCGTGTCCTAGCCAATTAGACTACCTTTATGATTATTATCGTTATTATTAAATATAAAAAAGGAACAATTCCGATTTTTTAAAAACAAATTTAAACTAGGCTTTAAAATAGCAAAAACGAGTCGAAGAATGAATGAAGCATTCATCTAGGAAATTACAAACGAATGGATAATGGTTTCAAACATTTTGTAATGGAAATGACAGTTTCAAAAATGAAAAATCGAGAGACCGGAAATGACAGTCTCAAAAATGAAAAACCGTCGGAGACGGCCTATCGTTATTGACGATTGAATCTCGAAGACTATTATAGAACCAGAATTATTAAAAACCATTTAAGAAATTGTATAGAAATTAATCTATATCATTAGTTTGTCACTTGAAATCGAACAGAAAAATAAAAAAATTGAAATTATTCTTGCATTAACCTAATACTTTTTGCTTCGAATGAAAGAATTGAAGTCCAGTATGACATATAAAACATTATGATTATAACTTGCATAGAGATTAAAAATTTTTATTACCTTGCAGTACTGTATTCATACATATTCTTGTGGTATTCAGTACGTTTCCTGTTAATAGCAAGTAAAAGATTTCAGTTTGTTGTTAAATAATGGATGTACAAAAAGTTCTGAGCTTCTTTTGCAAAATTAAATTTTTATTTAAAAACAAACAAAAAGATATTACTCAGTGAAATATTTCCCGTTTGCATCAATGACCTTTTATTATCTTTTGGGCAACTTGCGGATTCCTTAGTAAAAGCTTACCAGCTTTGAGGCGATAAAATCAATGTATTTTCGTATTTCTGTGTCACGAAATATATATCAGCCAAGTGATGTTGTAGCAACCGGAATAGATGGTAATCAAAAGGCACCATGTCTGGGTTATACATCCCGTGCGAAAGAAATTCTCAGCCTACTGCAAAGATTCTGAGAACTTTCGTGTGATCGAGCATTGTCACACTGAGAAAAAAAAGTAGTTGACTCAACTAAATTGATTTTGTTAATTCAAAGATATGTCCTGTGGAAATATATAAGTCATTATTCAATGTACTACTGCGTATTTGACCCAAATACATTAATATTTTGACAAAATATTTGCTTGACAGCCCGTGACCGCCAATTTAGTTGAATCAAATTTTTTTTTTCTCAGTGCATGAAGCAGGATCACTTATGACGTCCTCGGCCAGTAAATAGCCTCTTTTCTTTTAATGTAGGATTCACACAGCATCTGATGTGCGTCGTACGACGATTCTGCAACCAATCAGAAAAATTGTATTCATCGAAAAGAAGCAAAATCCAGTTTTCTTCGAAAATCGGATGCTGTGTGAATCCAGCATAACGCATCGCTCACATTGATTAATTGTTTTTGATAGCGATCTGCCGTGATTGTTTTATCTGGTTGTAATAACTTGTAATGAGCCTTCTACAATAAGCCATAAGTCATAAATTACAAGTCATAAGCTAGAAATGGATCAATTACAGTCGTCAATTTTTAGTTTCTTACTTCTAATTTATGACTTATGGCTTATTGTAGAAGGCCTATAATACAACAAATCTTTCCAATCCCACCAGATACAGAGCAAAACCTTCTTGACGTGGATATTAGGCTTCGACCTAAAGTTGATATTGAAAATTGACCAGGGTCAATCCATGATTTTTTACATTTCAGATTATAATAAAGAGTCCATTTTTCATCGCCTGTAATGATTTTCTGGAACTTGAAAGCAAACTGAGTGCAGTGTCTCAGTGATTTTTGTCTTCAAACAATTTATGCAGAATTCATCTGCCTTCCTTCTGAACTTTTTCCATGTAAACGTATGGAAATGGCTTGCCGTGTAACGCCAAGCTGCTCTACAAGCTCCTTTTTAATTTGTACAGAGTTTATATCTAGTAATGTTTGTAGTTTGTCCGGTTCAATTTTTTGACGGTATCCAGTATGCAGTTCATCTTCAAGACTAAAATCTCTAGGCAAAATTTTTGATACCATCTTTTATGCTGATTCTATAATGAATCCGTAATCAGTAGTCCTAAGTCTTATGAATAAAGTTGACCAATAACCAACTTGTACGACTAAAGCTGATTGGCCAACTTTACCGATTAAGACTTCCGACTACAAACTCATTGTAGAATCAGCTTTACACGTAGCATGACTTACAGCAGTAAGTCCATATGCAGTACAAATTATTTCAGTGGCTTCAGCAGCATGTTTCTTCAGATGAAACGCAAAGTAGATGGAAAATCAAATATGCTCTTTTGTTATTGCTATCGTGAACACTACTGATTTTTAAGATTATGTGCATTAAATGTCAAACCGTATATCATTTTAAAAGGTAAAATATTAAAACCGCAAAAGAGAAACATAAATAAAATTTAAATTATGGTTTCGGTTGTATAAAATCTAAAGCTCAGAACTTTTTCGTACACCTAATAAATAAATAGACATTATGTAAGATTACCTTGATGATAGCTGTTTCCACAAAATTTTGTAATTAGGTTGCTACCTGAAATAAATAAAATAATTAGATTACAGTGAAAACTAAAACAATCTGATTACATATAAATAAAATAAAAAATTTAGGAAAATGTGTCTCTTATGATAGTACCATGCCTTTACTTAGAAATTAAATTAGAGGTTAGATAACTAAAAAATTAATTATATCGTATTGCGATCGTACTTTGAATGGTATTTGCTATGTAAGTTCTCGCTATATTCATTACATTTTTGGCCAAGAAATTCATGACTAACGTAATTAACACACTTAGAGTAACTTAACCTTACAAAATGTTTAAGCTACTTTGAACATATGATCTCGTTCATTGTCGCCATCTAGTGACGAGGAGACAACTATTGTGTAAGATGTATAAGTAGGAATTTCATTTATCGACTACTGAAAAAATCTAATTTAATTATTATATAATCTTATATCTAATCTAATTATTATATATAATTTTATTATTCGTATTTCTAGTTTTTGGTATTTAATTTCGTTTTATTTTTTTACAAAAATATATATTTTGTCTATTTGATTTTTGATATATTACATGTTTAAATACAGAAATGTCACATTGTAATGCATAACGTTAGACAATTTTTTTTAAACGTACAATTCCGAAATTAGAAACACAAACACATATTAAAATGATATTAATATTTAATAAATATAGAAATTATATAAAAAAAAGAGAGAATGTAAAATTAACATATATTTCCTGATACAAGAACGTTATTACGTTAATTATTCATGACGAACGCATCTAACTATAGATATAGTCACATTATAAAAAGTCTCCAAGAAACCAAAATTGATCAATTCGAGAGATTTTTATAAATTTCTTAATTTTAATATTACAGAAATATAGAGTGATTAATTTATTAATTTCATCAATAATTTCTCCTGCCTTTCACTTTACAGATTGACCAATTTAATTTCCAAGAGATTATTAATTGTAATTCACCCTCGCCGTAATGGAGACATAAAAAAGGTATACTGCGGGTTATTAAAAAATATAAAATTTATTTGGAAGTCGCACGATATAAAAGTTTAAGGGTGGTAGGGCCAATGTTCAGGACAAAGTTGACAAGAGAAATTGAAGGACGTTTCGCGACACCGTGTGCGTGTCGGATAATTGATCAGCCGCCGCCGCGTCTTCACCATCCGTGACCGTAACCGGCACCGTAACCGGCACCGTAACCGGCACCTAGACCAGCACCTAGACCAGCACCTAGACCAGCACCGTGTCCCAATCCCGCGCCGTATCCGAGTCCGGCACCATATCCAATTCCCGCACCGTATCCAAGACCCCTCGCGCCGTATCCCAATCCGGCGCCATATGCGACTCCCGCGGCACCGTGTCCTAGTCCACCTAGATTCGCACCCCCGTATCCTGGACCGCCAGAATAACCAATGCGATAAGTCAGAGGCGCGCTGTATCCATGAGACGCTATGGGCACGCTATAGGCTGCAGGTGCGGAAATGCCGTGACCCGTGGAGGCAATTGCCGGAGCAACACCACCGAGATAACTGTGCCCGTAACCTGAAATCAAAAGAGATAAGAGTAATAGGCACGCAAATCGCCAGAATGTTTAACCGAAAATTACCTCCATAAGCCGAACTGCCTGCAATCAGAGTGTTTCCTAATCCACCGTATCCTCCGTAACCCAATCCTAAGATACCCCTCTTCTCCTGTTTTTTTTCTATTTGTGTTTCCTCGCCATAAATGGGCATTGCCAGGCCGAGGATGGCTAACACGAGCTGCAACGAATTTATTCAAGTATTGTACGTAAAGTTAAGTACACATTATCATATATCATATGTTAGATATATCGTATATCATATGCTAGTTTATCTTCTAAAAACAGATGATGAGTCCGCTTTTTTTAACTAAATTAAAATATAAATTCTCTTTATTAAAACGTAAACGGATATATATGTGTTCGATATTTACACAAAGCGAGAAAAAAATTCCGATGTTGCTCGTCTATAAGAGAGTGCAACATAAACAAAACAATTCTATAAAAGCTTTTGTAATATGGGCGTAAAAAAATTTTTTTAATCTCTCGAACGGATACCACATTTTACAAAAATACAGAAAATACGTGAAATATGTGTACAAATAAAAAAATAAAAAATTTCATTCTGGAATATCTATCAAAAATAATAAAAAAATTATTAGTATCATATATCCTGAAATAATAATTATTAACAAACCGTATTATGTACACAGAAATATCTCGTAATGAATTCCATTCGCGGGGTTCATAAAATTATTTCAAGGAGGAAACAAGGAAGTCAGAATAATGTCAAATTGACTAATTCGTGACAAAAAAAATGCTCTAAATTTGATCAATATGACGTTAAATTGACGTTATTTTGACTTTCTTGTTCTCTTTGCGACGAATTATTTTTCTGCGATTTTCATAAATCACTCCCTCGAATGCAATACCGATTTCAGTTACTCGGAGAAGAATTAGAATTAGAACTAAAACTCACTATAGCGTTCATGGTGGCGATAATGTTGTGGCGATGCAGAGATCACTACTGAAACTGTTGCGGACCTTACGAGACACACCCCCTTTTATACCGGTGGAGTCTTTTCTCACAGCATTACATCTCGCCGAGACGAATTACACGTGGATCGCACGTTTATACGCGATACCTCGCTCACCCACACACACATACGCATGTAAATAGAGATGTAGGAGCAGTTATAGCAGCGCAATAGTACCGCCGGCAAGAAGGTATTATGGTACGCGTAGCTAATACGCCTTTCTAAAACGATTTTTCTAGCGAACTCGTCACGAAAATTCTTTGTTAGACTGAGCGATCGACTTGCGTCGGTGGGAATTAAAAATCGATCTATCAATCCCTCGAAGGAGACACCGTTATTCTTGATGAAACGTTTGGATTAAAGTATATAAGAACAATATCAAATTATCAGATTTCTTGTAGAATTTCTTCCGTTGGATTTAATTAGAAGGGTTGAGGATTACATAGAAGATAAAATCGATCGGAAGATTTAATTATTGATAAAGTCACTCCTATTTCCTTTTAATTTGTAAAATTACTGGATTCTTTCAGCAAAATAAAATAAGGACTTTCGCGCAGCAATTTTTTATCACATTCGTGACATATGTAGTCTTGTCATTTTTTAAATTGAGATCTCGTAAATCCGTGGACTTTCAAAGTGATTATTTCTTACTTTGAAGGTAGACCCAAGATACTTTATCAAATCCTGTTATTCTATCTACATTATGGATAGGATTATAATTCGAAAGGATAATGGGTTACTCAACCTAGAATTAGTTAACTTGAACTCAAGCCAAACTCGATACAATTAATCCCCATGAATGTGAAAGATATTGCATGACATATATCGCTGACATAACTGCTGCTTTGACGTACTTACTATTATATATGTATATTATATAGGTAAATGTAACCTTTTGGCTTTAAATGTTTAAATATATGTGTAATAATATGCAGCCCATTGATATTAATTTTGATCCATCGATATGATAATACAACGTGCGCTTTTTCTGCACATCTTAAATTTCATACATGGCAAAACTTTCACTGTTTGCACGGTTCCGCCGACGACGGTTTTCGGTTGCAGTATTACGTAAAAACGTGAAGATATTTTTTCCGTCTATATAGTTCACCTCTTGCTGCAGTCCCTTTCTGTAACAACCTATCATATATCCCGATTGACGAAACAGTAAAAAGAGAAAGAGTACAAATGAAAAAAAGTAACTAAAATAAAAAATCTAACATATAGTTTAAAATCGATCTTGTATTTTAGGCCCTGGAAAAAAAAACATTTGTAGATAAAAATAATACAAATGATATATATTTTAATATACATTGATTGCTTTTTTAAATTCACATAATTGTTTCGGGTGTAAGACAAAAATTCTTTTTTGCAACTAAATGGTGAAAAAAGGATTAATTGCTAAATAAACGGCGCCATATATCACTGTCCGCTGCAAGCGTTATCTTCCTGTTACTTCGACGCCACTTGGGATAATCGCCGTTTTACAAATGGTCTGCCATGAACTCGATTCGACAGCAGGCCGTTATTAAATTAGCAGAAAAATCCTCGTTAATCATGGGAAAGAGGGCAGGAGGTACACCCTCGAGCCTTCGAAAGGGCCCATGAGTCCGGTTTTACGTCAGCGTAACGGCTCAGCGGTATCGATGCACGTCAAACAATAAAGCACGTCATATCGTTAATTTTCTGCGGGGAGAAGGGAGAGAGTTTTATCGCATCAAAGGTCGCCTGCGAACAATTGTTGCGTAAACCGAGCACAGTATGAGGAGCATTGGAGCAGGGGGTTGCAATAGCGTATACGCTATAATACGAGTATACTGTACTCTACAATACAGCCAGGCAAGAAATCGCTGCAATCGCTGATCGAACTTCTACATAACGGTACCAGATGTAAACGTCATGTTTCCTATGTTTCCGTTGCACTAATCCGTTTGTTTTTCTAGACATACAATGTCTAAACAGTTTCGTTCTTTAAATAAGGAAACGTTATATTTTAAGGATATTAATTATATCTTAAAACCACAGCATTAGTAAGAATTTTGAAATGCAGATATTTAAAGAAAAAATCTCAAATAACAAGAATAATGAGGCTAATGAGAGATATATTCGCTGTTATTAGTGCGATCATTTACGCTTGTCAATTCTCGCAAGTACTGAGATACATGTGTATCTGTTTACATAGAACTTCTTTTTAATATCTCCCCCGGGCGTCTAAGGTAGGCTCTCACTATATTACCTTTTATTATACTAATGAGTCTAGTAGTGGGAAGCCGGGACGAAACGCCAACTTGTGATATTCTTCGCAATCTTTTTTTTCACAGATTTTAACTTATCATTAATTTAACATTACACATTGTTAAATTTTAATATGTCTTTCAACATATTATTAGGATCCAATAAGATGCTTTAAGCATCAAATATTGTTAAATTGCTTATCAATTTAACTAAGTGATATTACTACGATAGTTGATTAGTCGAGTCGCGTTGTAAGTCTGAAAGATTTTCGGCACGCGTTTGAGGGAACTACATACGTGGTAAATAAATTCACGCTATAACATATATATCTTATAAATGATTGCACTAATAACAGCGAATATACTCTCATTAGCCCTATTATTCTTGTTATTTGAAATTTTCGAGAGTCTATTTTTAATTGAAGAAAATACTTTTACTACCAAAAAATTATGAGTACTTTTCTTACATGATGATGTGATAAATAAAAAAAAATGATATTTTATTTTCTGTAAAAATGCGAAGTACTTGTAACTTTTTATCTATAAATTTTTATCATTTTACAGAACTTTTTTACAGTTAATGATTTTTCTTGTAAATTGCGTATTACGCATAATATCACGAATACACAGTAATTTTTCTTTAGAAAGTACGAACCGGATATCAATAAAGAACAGCATAAAACTTCTTTTAGAAATACACGACTCGAGGCAATAAAATAAAATATACGATTAAACGGCTGTTTGAGATCCAACTTTGCGGATTCTTATTGCGAAATGCGCTCGTAATTCTGATCGCGCGGATACCGATAATGTGAAAACATGTTGGCGATGAGATGGCTGATAGTATATCAATGCATCTTATTACTACCCGCAATACCCGCAACGAAATAGTGTAAAATTATTTAATTGTTGGGCATAAAAACGGCCTCAATAATCAGATTGTACAAAGTCCGGAGTTTTTCATTCAGCAAAATTGATCGAGTGATTTGCTCATATACTTAGTAATAAGCGTAGTACTGACGCAACATTCTGGTATTTATCAATAACATATTCGCAACGCTTATATTGTACATTGCAGATATGTATATTTGCATGCGTTATATACATATTGTAAACATTGCAGCGCATTAATAATTATAATTATTCATTCTAAAATTATATGAGAAAATTAAACTGTAATTAATTACATTTAATTATTAATAAATTAATGTAATTAAAATTATTATTAGTTATTAAACATATTTTATAATTATAATCATATAAAATATTTTGTATTAAAAAATTCGATTATATAATATATGTCATTATCGAATAAAATACCAATAAAATATCTGAAGAACTTGCAACTAATGTATAAAATAATAAATTAATTTATTCAATTACAAAAATTAAATACTGAAATTATTGTATAAGGTTATACAAATATAAAATTATATTTATTCATGTTAGATATTAATAAAAAAAACTGTAATAACATTTCGTAAAAATAAAAGTCTTTAAATTTTTTTTTAAATAACACAAAAAATTCTTATAATTATAATTATTTACGACAGATATCATCATTAGTCTGAATTTATATCAAATGTTGATAATAAAATGCTGTAGAAAGGTAATACATGATTTCTTTGTAGATGGCGGTAAAATGCTTTTGCTTAAGTTGGATTGAGTTGTTGTTTATCATGTGTACACATAACCTCTTCAATTGTTTTGAACGATATTATTAGGCGCATTTTCTATTTTATATAATTGAACCGTCAAGTAAAAATTAATTCTGCCAGTTTTTTGATAATATTGTTGTATGAGATATATCGTTCTTTATTTTTATAATTAGTTAAGTTTTTTATAAATAAATTGTGCCTTTCACTGTAATCAGCTAAAGATAAAAGGCTATCTTCCCGGTAAGTTTTGTTTAAATTTCATAACTTTACACATAATTTCTTATTTGTTAAACATCAGTGTCTTTTATTAATAGTTTAAAGAGAAACATTAGATATATATAATTTTCAAGTATTTTTAAGAAAAACGAAATATTAATTACTTATTATAGTATGCATAATTATTTATTAACAGAGCTACCAAAAAGTTTTATGTGCAAAATAAAAAGTACATAGTTACATATTTTATTTTATAAAACAATTCTTATAATTATGTTGGTCACTTCTCAATATGTTTTATATATATCTTCTAATATACAAAGTATGTGCCAACTGGTCATTAAAAGGCATTTCTCAAAGATTAGTAAAATTCAAAAATTGATGAGAGAATATAAATCGTTATTTGGTCCATTAAATGAAACAAAAACTCAGAAGAAAAAAAGATTAAAATTAGAAAAGAAAGGAAAGATATTCTGTGAAAAATTAAATACGACTAATACAGAATTGTTTTGGATTATGGAAAATACTTCTAATAAACGCAAGAAGATTATTTCCACTTCACAGTCATGTAACAAGCAATTAAATGATAAATATAAGAGTTCTGTGAAGAAATTTAACAAAATGGAAATTAATAGCTCAACTGATCAAACTACAGAAAGTCTGTTACCTTCTGAATCTAATCAAGTTACTAAGGAAATAGAACTTGGGTTTACTAATACAACATCTAATTTGTTGTTAAAAAATAATGATAACAAAGTTGAATTGTTCAATTCAAATGTATCTAATAATGAAAACACAGCCACAAAATGTATATCTTCTAATTTTGAAAGATTGCCTGACATTATTATAAAGAATTTGCTATCTTTTCCAATCATGAGTAGCA